TATCTGATAATGATGATTAATTCATGATGATATATATTTCATTGTAACTAATTAAATTTATTTGACCATAATTTGTAATTTTATTATAATATAGTTTGAATATATGCTAAGTTTTTACGCAACGCCTATTATTCGCCCTCCCGCCATAGCATTTTTGCCCTCGTCTGGCAAGGGCTTATGCTAGCCAGAATGGTCTGGCAATTGCACAGACCTTTTTCGAATTGCTTAGAGAAACAACATATGTAAATTCCAGCTTTACAGGACAAAGTTTATTTTGGGGCATTTTTTGCTCACTTTCCAGCTCGTCTGGCAGGTACTTGTGCAGGTCGAAATGGTCTGGCAGATTGATTTTTAACTTCCCGTAGGGTAAGTTATAGTAATCGTCCAAAATCGAAATCAAAAATTTTTACATTTCTCGACGTTTTGAAGGTTTTTGAACATTTTGGCATACTTCAGAAAAAATGGATGTGTGTGTGTGTGTGTGTGTGTGTGTGTGTGTGTGTGTGTGTTTTGTATGTCCGCTTTTTTTCGTCCACGTTTTCGGGCGCACGGATCAACCGATTTGAATGGTTTAAAAAACATTCGATTCCTATTGATAGGGAGATGTGCTGATTAGTTTTTGGCAAAGGCAGGTCCAGCCGTTACGGAGATATGGAGCAAAGAGTGCAAAAAATAGAAAGCGAATTTTTGAGAGAACGGATCAACCGATTTGAATGGTTTAAAAAACATTCGATTCCTATTGATAGGGAGATGTGCTGATTAGTTTTTGGCAAAGGTAGGCCCAGAGGTTTCGGAGTTACAGAGCTAAATTTAAAAAAAATGGCTGTTTTTGAGAGAACTAAGCGTCCGATTTAAATGATTCAAAGAACTTTCTGCTTTTTTCAACAAAACAATTGATTTTGGAAAAAAAAATTTTTTGATTCTAATTTTTTTTCAAAAAAATTTTTTTGTAATTTTGGACTAAAAATTCAAAAAATCACCCAAGCTAAGCACAGTCTAAGCGCCACTCTGGTACAAATGTTTACCCAAGTGCGTTTAGACTGTTTGTGTACTGGAGCACTTTTCCAATTTTGTGAAAATTATTGAAAAATGTGAAAATGCCGCCAAGCTGAGCACAGTATAAGTGAAAATATCGCACAGAATTATTTGCAAATGCGTTTAGACTGTGACTATGCTGGAGCACTTTTTCAATTTTGTGGAAATTTGGCAACTATTTTTTTTTTTGAAATTTGATTCGAAATGAAATGACGATTGTTAATGTTCTGGAGGTGATAAATTGATTTATTTATAATTAACTTTCCGTAGGGTAAGTTATAGTAATCGCACAAAAATCGAAAATGAAAATTTTTATATAACTTTACGTTTCAAAGGTTTCTGAATATATTGGCATACCTTAGAGAAAATTGATGTATGTGTGTGTATGTGTGTGTGTGCGTGCATTTGTGTGTGTTCAGATACAAATTTTCGTCGACGATTTCGGGAATCGGGATGAAGCAATTTGAATAATTCAAAAACATTTTACTTGCATTATCAAGATGAAGATTTGATGAAATTTTTATGAAATTAGGTCTAGCGGTTTCAGAGATCTAGTAAAAAAAGTAAAAAAAAATAACATTTGGCGGTCAACAATAATCATTAGACATTAGACATATGCACATCAAATTATCAGATATTTTATAGAGATTTTAACAATGAGTATACATTTTGTTAACATTCCTATGGGTTCCGTACCAATGCTTATGCGTTAGACAGCGACGCGGCGCTTACGCGCTTCGATATTTAGTCTCTATGCATTAAAGCAGTACGATTGCTTTGAAAAAAAAGTTCAGAATTTCCAAAATATTTCAAAATAAATTTTTCAACAAAAAGTAAGTTTTGTCAAAAATTTATATAGTTCCTCAAAAATCTATTTTTTAGAGTAAATTTTTTTAAAAAATGTTAATCTTTTCAAAAAAAAAATAATTTTTGGTACGGGAAGTTCCAGCAATTTGCCTTAAGGCACGATGCCATGCGCCCCACTAGTTGAACTTCTCAATGAGTGAATTACATCGTATAAAAATTGAACCTTACAGGAACAAGTTTAATTTTCGGGTATTTTTTACACTTTCAAACGCCTGGACGACCATGATGTGCAGGGCTAAACCTGCCAGACCGTCGTTTCCGTACTTAGCACGTTAAGAATCACCTGTACAAAAATTTTCAGCCTTACAGGAACACCGTTATTCAAAAGGTTCACTGGCTCTCAGTCTATCAGCTGTGCAGCGCGATTGATTAAAAAAATGTTCAAAATTAAAAAAAAATCAAAATACAAAAAAAAATATAAACAAAATAAAATTTTTCAAAAAAGTCAGATTTTTCTAAAAAAAATCAAAATTTCTCAAAAATCTAATTTTTTCAAAGTTTTGCAAAGTTTGTTTTAATAATTTGGGTTTCGGTACGGGAAGTTCCAGCAACTTGCCTTAAGGCACGATGCCATGCACCACTATATAGTTGGTTCTTATCTTTACTATGCGTTGCCTTCGATATTGTCCAGATGGCACCACACGATCGTTCGTTCGATTGCCGTAATATCGCATTCCGTCAATTGAATAAATCAAATTGTTATCTTTGGAACTGGCGGACAGTTCTCCGGCAAAGTGACATTCGCGATGTGTGTCTCGATCAGCTGTTTTATTTAACAATCGCGCTTACGAGTTTTAACAACAATAACATCGTAAATAAAGTGATTCAACATGAGGATACACACACCGAAAATGTCTTCAATACACAAAATATTGGATTTTTACTCACAATTTAATCCCTCACCGCTTTCTATAAAACAGTTTATAGATTTCGGTATGTATTACTTGTTTTTCTATCAATTAATTAGAACTTATCAAGGTTGAAATAGCATGCGTTTATTAATTATTTACATATTTGTGTGTGGCGTGGGTTTTAATTTGAATGTATAACCTAACATTTCTATAGCATTCCTTTATTGTTATATTTGACAGTTATGTCACCCGTTTTAGGAATTGAATTTGGGGGCACGTACCCTTTAATAAATATCTAGAAAATTATTCTTTATTCATTCATTAGTGTTACAATTTAAACAGATTTTACTTAAATGCTCGAAATATTTTTTTATTTAAAAAAACTGTATGTTGTTTATTCTGTTAACAAATAATTGTACTATAGTTGTTCTTGCAAAAATATTTATACTAGTTTATAAATTAAATATTTTCAATTGCCATAACTTTCTGTAGTATCATCTTTTTCGGACAATTCAAATGCATTTAGTTTTTTACATTTATCTAATTTGTTAATTTCCCGTAGGGTAAGTTATAGTAATCGCAAAAAAATCGAAAATTAAAATGTTTATATATCTTTGTTTCAAAGGTTTCTGAACATCTTGGCATACCTTAAAAAAAATTATGTATGTGTGTGTGTGTGTGTGTGCGGATACAAATTTTCGTCGACGATTTCCGGAACACGGTTCAACCGATTTCAATTATTCAAAAAACATTCGATTGCTGTTAATAAGGAGACGTGCTGATTAGTTCTTGGCATAGGCAGGTCTAGCCGTTTCGAAGATATGAGGCAAAAAGTGCCACAAACGGTAACTCGGATTTTAAGGGAACGGAGTGTCCGATTTTAATAATCCATGCAAAACATATTACTTGACAAGATGAACAACTGATTACATTTTTATGAAGGCAGGTCTAGCGGTTTCGGAGATCTAGTAAAAAAAGTAAAAAAATGCCATTGGCGGTCAAAAATGATCATTAGACATATGCACATAAAATTATCAGATATTTTATAGAGATTTTAACAATAAGTATAAATTTTCAGAAAGGAAAGGAAGATCAGAACTTCCAAAATATTTCATAATAAAGAAAACATTTTTTTTCAAAAAGTTTTTTTTCCAAAAAAAAATTTTTTTTTCAAAAATTTATAGTTTCTCAAAAATCTAATTATTTAAAAGTAAAATTATTTCAAAAATGTTAATCCTTTTTAAAAAAAATAATTTTTTGTACGGGAAGTTCCAGCAATTTGCCTTAAGGCACAATGCCATGCGGCCCACTAGTTTACCTTAATTCAAGACTTCTTAAACTTTTGTCATTCGCGACTCCATTTAGGATTGCGAGTTTGACGACCCCACACAAATATAAAAAAAGATAAATTATTAATTTTATATCATATATTTATTAAGAAACAACTTACATATATGCATATGTCAATATATAGTTTTAGAATTCGTTGTAAAATATACAAAAATCTAGACGTGGTGTTATAAAATGATATATATTTTTGATATTAAAATTTCTCGCAACCCTTTAATTTTCCTACGCGACCCCAAATGGGGTCACGACCCATAGTTTAAGAAGTAATGCTTTAAACTACTATCTCTATTTAAATCATATCATTATCTATGTTTAAACTAGTTGTGTTTAAACTTATGGCATCGTGCCTTAAGGCAAATTTCTGGAACTTTCTGTACCGAAAACTAAATTAAAAAATACTTTAAATTTTTTTCAAAAAAATTAGATTTTTGAAATTTTTTTTTATATCTTGATTTTTTTTTAATTTTTAACAGTTTTGAAAGCAATCGCGCTGCATTAGAAGATCGAAGCGCGTAAGCGCCTCGTTGTAGTCTATCGTGTTAACGTAGGTACGGAAACCATATAAATGTAAACTAAAATTTGTACTTATTCTTATAATCTTTATAAAATATCTGATAATATGATGTGCATATATCTAATGATCATTTTTTACCGCCAAATGGTATTGTTTTTTACTTTTTTTTTATTGGATCTTCAGAGACGTTGGACCTGCCTTTACAATAATTTCACCAGTTGTTCATTTTGTCAATACAAGTAAAATGTTTTTTCAATTATTTAATTTGAACGCTCCGTTATCTCAAAAAATGAAATACCATTTTTCCACTTTTTGTCCCGTATCTCTGAAACAGCTAAAACTGCTTTTGCCAAAAACTAATCAGCACGTCTCTTTATCAGTAGGAATTGATGTTTTTTGAATTATTGAAATCGGTTGATCCGTGTTCGCGAAATCGTCGATGAAATGTTGTTATCGCACACACACACTCACACACGCACATACACACACATATACATCCATTTTTTCTAAGGTATGCCAAAATGTCCAGAAACCTTTGAAACGTAAATATATATAAAAATTTTCATTTTCGATTTTTTGCTATTACTATAATTTTCCTTACGGGAACTTAATTTTTTCGTTGTATGCCTTTATTTTGTATATTATTATTTATTATGCTTATTATGCCTTATTTTAATTCTTGATCATTTATTTTTTTAATAATAATTACAGTCTCTAGTTTCTTAACTACAAGTAATATACTTGAAAATTACAATACCAAAAGATTCTGATTTATTATATTTTCAAAGTTTAACTATTCAAGAATTTGTGTACAAGACGGCTTTTCAAAATTTAAATTATTTTCGGAGATATAGCTGTTTGACCACTATAATATTTCCCCATTTTCTTCTTTAGCAAAACTTTCGAAATTTGGTGCCAAACGCGTTTTTCTCGAAACTATCCTTTTCACGATACCCACGATTTCTCTACTTTTACTGGACCGATTTACTTAAAATTGTTACAGAGTCTTCTTTATAGAGTTCTTTTTAGTACGTTGGTCTGGAAACAGGGGTAAATTACCCAAATAGGGTAAAAAAATAATTTTTGGGTGTAAAATATCTTTAACTGATATTCTCTGTATTTGCCACGTAGTTGTCCGTATGGGGGTAACTTCTAGTCGCTATGGCGGTAATATTAACTTAAACAAAAATATTTTGGGGTAATGATTAAAAAAATTCCGATATTTACGCATCCCCAAATTCCGATATTTACTTTTTTTAAAAAAACGAGAAAAATGTATTTTTTACAAACAGTCGCTATTTTGTGAAAACACATGTCTTTAACTAGTCCGTAGTGCATACGTTTGCGAAATTATAGGATAGAGTGGGACACGAAGGTATAATTTGACTTTCAGTAATTATAGTAATTATATAAACAAATGAACTACATCACAACAAATAATCAACTATCGAACTATATTCAATAAAAACCACAGCTAATTCGCTATTTTAGAAGTATGTGTTTTTACCTTTTTTTATAATTTGTCATCTGTCTCTTTTTACTTCACAGGTTGGGTAAAAAGGGACAGCCACTGGGCCAATAGACACAATGTATTAATTTTAATTTTACAGGCACTAAATTATTTAACCAATGCGAGATAAAATTTTCTTGGTCGCATTTTTACAAATATTACAGTCTATATAAACCTGATATGGTAACCATATGGTAATTATTAATTCACTTTATCTCTTGATGAATTGCTTGTTCCAACTAAATTTACTCTTTTACTATTTTCTTATTGTTTAGACCCTTTCCAGTGTAAAAGTTCAGGTGGTCCTTTTTATCCCAACCACATTTAAGCTATTCTGGAGGTTATATAAAAAAACGGTTGAATCTAACTTAAAAATAGTAAAACGTCTTAAAGAACAATGTATGCTGAAGAATTATATTCAGGTATCAATTGAAAACAAGAGCTGAAAACCAAAAAAAATTATCTACTTGAAAAAAAAAAAGTTTCTTATTATATTAGTATATCTTCTGACAGCGACATCTTAAAAATTAAGGTGATGGCTGTTTATACATCTTTTACCTTTTACTTTAAAATTATATTGTTAAAAAAAAAACTTTACTTGTTTTTGAGATAATGATGATGAACCTTTTCACCTGCGGACCTTTAAGCCTCGCTTTACTTTATATATTTTGTTTGTCCAGATTACTTGGAGGGATTACTATCATTTTTTTGAGACTCTCCACTTTATCACCTTTTGGAAAAAAAAACTATAGGTGCGACTAATATTAATTTTTTTCATCTTTTTTTATATATCTTAAAACAATAATTAATAGCTTGTAAAAAATATAGTAAAAATATTGTTTGCTTATTTTTACGGGCTTTCAAAAATCCTACAAAATTAATGCTTCTACAACTGAATTTCTAATATATTAGAAGATAATTAATAAAATTGTTATATTTATTTTTGTCAACTAATGAAAGCAAATTTATTTAGCATAAATAAAACTAGAATTTTTACTGTAAAAACATTTATCAGTTTATTGAGAATCATATCATATAGTATTAAGTACACAATTACCCTTTATTCAGGATAAAGCTGACTTTCGTAATCTCGAGTATTGAAATTTAAAATTTTACTCTCTTAATACGATTACTGTTAATGAGTAAAGTTCAAACCTACTAGACACATAATTTAAATCAATTGGTTGTGTTTTATAGATGTTTAATATAACTTTCTCAATATTAATTTACTTGTTAACTTTTCATCATCAGTATATTTACAAAAACAATGAAAAATAAATTTAAGGAGCCAACTGTATTTCATATAGACAGAGCAAAGAATTAATTGTTATTTCATGTAGAATGATGTTTTATATAAAATATTAATCTATATTATTTATCATATATCATATATTCTGTTGCTTTTGATACTTTTATCTACATAATTAAAATATTTGGCGAAATGTGCAATATTCAATAATATATATTTTCTATATTAACTTCACGTAGGGTAAGTTACAGTAACCGCAAAAAAAAACAAAATGAAAATTTTTGCATATTTTTGCGTTTCAAAGGTTCCTGAACATTTTAGCATGCTTTAAAAAAAATGGATGACGAACCGTCGACGATTTCGAAAGCACGGATCAACCGATTTGAATGATTCAAAAAAAGCATTCCTTTTCTATTGATAGGGAAACGTTCCGATTAGTTTTTGGCAAAGGCAGGTCTG